GTTACTTAAAAACTGCCAATTCTGAGGCTTGTTTGCGCGGGCGCGCGCGTGTTTGTGTGTGTGTGTGTGTGTGTCAATGTGTATGGATGTTTCGTAATACTGGGTTGTGGCTGGAAGGGCATCCGCTGCATAAAACATATGCTATATAAGTTGGCGGTTCATTCCGCTGTGGCAACCCCAGATTAATAAAGGGACTAAGCCGAAAAAAAAAAATAAATGAATGACTTGGCAGTTCATTCCACTGTGGCGACCACTGAAATACAGACTAAGCCAAAAGAAAATGAATGAATGTCTGATCAATTTAATGCATCAGAAAAAATTTATATATATATATATATATATATATATATATATGTGAAAAAAAATACCAAACATGAATTATATTTATGTAACGCTAAACACTTTTGTCACAGTTTGTCTTGTGTTTGTATTTTTAAAGATTATTTTGAGAATTATTTGGAATAAGTTGACACATAAAGTATATAACTATAGTACAACTGAGTCAGACTTGAATATGAGTTAAGATTAAGTGGAGAAAGAGTATTTCCTTCTTGTAATTAAGAATAAAAAGATAATAATCAAGGAACTTTGCTGAAATGTTTGAGTGAGATGCTAATGGTCTAATGCAGTGGTCACCAAACTTGTTCCTGGAGGGCCGGTGTCCTACAGATTTTATCTCCAACCCTAATCAAACACACCTGAACAAGCTAATCAAGGTCACTTGAAACATCCAGGCAGGTGTGTTGAGGCAAGTTGGAGCTAAACCCTGCAGGGACACCGGACCTCCAGGACCAGGATTGCTGACCCCTGGTCTAATGCGATTCAATGATTTATGCTAAGCTAAGCTAAACATGTTCACGGCAGACCCAGAGATCATCTCAGTGGATTGAAATATTGTAAAATTCTACTGTTTTACATCAGGGGAGTTATAAAATAAAAAAAAAGAAATGGAGTGTTTCTTTAAAAGACTGCATTGTATTATCATTTTAAAGTAAAAGCATGGCGTGTTTACACTCACAGCAAGACCAGAAATGTATATAAAGAAAGTGCATGTTGACTTCAAGTCTACAGAGTGATGAAAAAAACACTTAAGTGATAAAATTGTCCTGTGGTGTGAAAGAGACAGAGAGAGAAGGAGAGGCTGTGATTTTCTCAGTGTGAGTAACACACACTTATATACACACACATTTCCCTATTCATTCTAATCAAGAGGAATCAGGTATGTTTGCCAGAAGATTACACACACCTGCACACACAGACACACACACAGACACATAGACACATGCATCGAAAGTTTCTCAGGGAAGGATTACAAGTCAACAGAAATCTCTATTATGCTTAAGATTTCAGTCTGGGAAATCACTTCCAAAATATCTCTTCCAATTACATCTTTGACAGTTTTATTAGTGAGGGAGAGTCTTCAAGTGTGTGTTTGTGTGTGTCTGCTTTGTGTGTGTGTGTGACAGAAAGAGAAATGGCATGAGGGAAACGTGAGAAGCGGAGGAGAGGAGTTGCTCTAAATCACTGTTTGCTTTGAATCACTGTGGATATTTCAGCTCCTGTCACTCTCATGTGGCTCTTTTATCCACCAGACACTTTTAGACCCTAAATCTTCCTCCAAATATCCCTGTGTGAAATGGAATTTCACACCCGCATGTGCTCCATTTCATAGGGCATGTCAAGAACAGTTTTCCAGCTTTTTAATAGCCAGTCTATTACAGATTTACAGGACTTTTATTTTACTTTTAAAGCATCGGATGTTTTCTTTTATTTGACAGATATAATAAGGGAGTTTCTGAACATTTTGAAGGAGGGAGTAATAAGAAAAAAAGATGTAGAAAGCATTGATATCAGCAGAAAGTGTCCACCACAATTTTTATATTTTTGTTACTAAGTTACATTAGCATTTTAATATCTTATTTTGTTTGTTTTGTTCTTTAATGTTATGCATTTTGTATTTCTTTGTCACTGTTAATGTATTGCTTTGGTATAACAAATTTGTCAAAGCACTTTGAAACTAAAAACTGAAACAAAAATGAACCTCATGATTAGTAAAGCACTTAATACTTAGAAAGAAATTTAATAATTCAGTATTCCAAGTACTCAATCAATCAACTTGTTTTTTATCATCACAAATCCTTATTTTACTTCTCCTTTCTTTGTTTTTGAATTAAAAGAATTATAAAAATTCATAAAAATTAGCACAAACTTTATGGTTATTTTTTTTACATTAATATGTGAAATTGATGTTTAAATACAAATGTTTTGTCTATACTGTTATAAAAGAAAATCTGTGAAAATGTAAAATTAATAAAAATAAATAAAATCTGGAATAAGAAACTATAAAATACGTTTAATTCAACACTCAGCCAGTTAACTGAAAAAATGAATACAGGTCATTTGACCACATTTTATGTGCACACATTGTGCATCAAAGGTGCATCAAACAGATGTATTGCCTAATATTTTCTAAGATTATTGTGTTATTTATCAAACGGGGCATAATTTTGGTTTTACTTTTAAAAAAGGTTTTAAAAAGGGGGTTTAGAAATGAAATCACAAATAAATAAAAAAATAAATCTAATAAAATCTAAATCTAACCAAGCCAAATCATAAACTGTCCTTCCAACCATCAGTCACAGTTTACAACCATTACATTTTGTATTATTTATTTTTCTATACTGTATTGGAAAGAAATGTTGTAGCATGTGAGAAATATAGTCTTCCATGTGATATGCATACATTTTTTTGCATTTATAATTATTTAATACTCACACATCATTTAAACCTTTGAATTACAGGTTTCACAACTTAGTTGACTTTATTTTAAAAAGCAGAGGTTTTTAAAGCAATCAAGTGACTTTACATAAATAAACGGGTAAAACCATTACCTAAACATTATTTTGTATAAAGTAATCTATTTTGTACAGTGTGCATCTAGTTAGTATAGTCTTTTCTTCTCCAGATGAATACACAGTAAAACAAACAAACAAACTACAGGAATGATTATAATGTTGATTGGTACTGTAGTATCATAATTTGCTTTTGCGATTTTAATATCTCATGCAAAAATTGACATCTAAAATTTCCTCTGAAATCATTACAAAAAATATAGGATTACCTGAAAACAAGTGGCTCTGCCTTAGGTTAGTCAAACATATTTTAGAAGGCAGCTTAATTTAATCACACACCTTTTGGAACATCATGTGTGTTGGCAAGGATATGCTACCTTAAAATGCTGCCTCAATTAGCAGATCACTAGATTTTGAAACAGGCCAAAAAAATGACATTATAATGTCTGATTAATTGTGAAGCTGCTCAGCCCAGAGGAGCTATCCGTGGTCCTGAAAATGCTATTACCTTCAGTATCAACTGGCCACTGCCCATGGTGCTGAAATCATCATCAGCTGCTTTAGGGCAGTTTCACTTTATCTCTGTGTCACCACCTCATATGGTGCTCGCTTGAGAACGTCATCCAAGCTGAGAGTGCTTTTAAAAGAGACTGACAGGCCAGTTAAGGAAGTGAGTAAGCTTGCTGTCAGGGAGCCCTGGCTGATGTGTCTGATTATAGGAACTCGCAGATAGTTAGCTGTCAGTCAGATGGATTTATTTTGATTTGATTTTTTAAATTTATATGTGGTCATGTATCTGTGTTGTGTATTTGTATGTGGTGATATATTGTAAAGCCAGAGACTACATCTTTATATTTTGGGATAATACCATGCAATGATTTTAAAACAATCAATAGAAATTTAAATTCAATTCTAAATTTTACTAGCAAGAATTTTACCAGATCTATCTATCTATCTATCTATCTATCTATCTATCTATCTATCTATCTATCTATCTATCTATCTATCTATCTATCTATCTATCTATCTATCTATCTATCTATCTATCTATCTATCTATCTATCTATCTATCTATCTATCTATCTATCTATCTATCTATCTATCTATCCATCTATCTATCCATCCATCCATCCATCCATCCATCCATCCATCGGAAATATCTGTCTGTCTCTATACATCCATTCATCCATCCATCCATCCAGTATGCATGTGTGTGTGAGAACCAAATGTCTTGCAGCAGAATTTTACACTAATTAAAGAACAGCTAATTGACCATGTAAAATACCTATAAAGTACCCACTGTAACAGTACACACTGTGAAATACTTATATAAGAATTACAATAATCAATGCATGATGATCACTAGTAAGCTGTTTATCTAAAATTAAAGGCAAATTCATTATAACACAACTTTTTGACATGATCTGATGCACTAATCATCCTCTTCAGCAGTAAAAGAGACTGCAAGACAATGCACTCAGTCTAATTAATATTGCCCACCAGGCTCTAATCTCACCTAAACAACAAACAAGACCATCCAAGGACTGAGAGCCATTTTGAGTCTATTGGAGCTATACTGCATAACTGTTTTGTTGCTTGAAGGGGTACACCTGCATCTGGAAGTGAATGAAAATTATTTAATATCATTTATTAATGTGCTCATTATATTATATTTTATTAACATCTACCTTTACCCCAAGCCTAAACCTACCACTTACAGAAATGTAAAAATAGTAATTATTGTTGTACACATCACAAAAATGATTCTATATTGTTTGCTTCCCCAAGTATTGGCAGCTGTATCTCTTCTAGACTTCATCGTATAACCATATAAAGGAAGTAATGAATGAAGGATGTGATTTTTTTTTTTTTTTTTTTTATGGGAAAAATGTTAACTGGTTCATGTTAAGTCTCCTTACAATATACAGTGAATAAATGTTTAAGATTCCCAGCATGACCCTTCATGTTTTATGTTTGCTGAAATTGATGTTTCCTCTTAGCTGTTTTTATGTGGGTATTCTTTGTTTCACTGTAAATGTATTTATAGTGTGTGTAATGAAAATAACATAGGCCTACAGTAGGTACAGTAACAATAACTTTTTTCCAATAGAGCTAATGTCTGAATTATTTCATTTTATTTATTTGCAGGGTCACGTGATGGTCAGTCGGCAATGTCTGGAACGCTTCCTCACTTCCTGCAGGAGCCCGATGATGCATATATCGTCAAAAGCAACCCCATCAAACTCCGCTGCCGTGCGAGACCAGCACTCCAGATCTTCTTTAAATGCAACGGCGAGTGGGTCCATCAGAACCAGCACACTTCTTTGGAGCACATCGAACTGGGAACAGGTAAATACGCATATGCTGTCCTTCTCTTTTATCTGTTTCTGTCTTTCCAATACAAACATCCAGCAGTGCCTGATGGGAGAGCCATGTCCAGAATGTCAAATTCTACAGCGGCAGACACTGGGCTCAGCGTTTCATCTTTCAGTTCAATCCCCATCAAACATACCATGCTATCTGTAGGAGCTTGAAAGAGACTGATTGTTGCATTTAGTGTTTGCTGGTGCAGATTTTGACAGCTGAAAGGACTGATCCAGTGATGCAACATAGAGAAATATTACTCTTTTCTCTTTTTTTTCCTCTCCCTCCTGTCGGATTAGCACTTGACCCAGGCGTGAGTTGCTGCTTTATGTTCAGAAAACTTTGAAAAGCGGCATAGCTCATTTCAAGCGTGTTTTTTTATCTTTTGTAGTTGTTTCTTTCATCTCTATCTGTTATTGATAAAAGGAACAACTGTTAGCGGCTTAAAAGGTTGACTGATTTTGAATGCTACCTGTGTTGAAGGCTTTAAAATTGACTTTTGAATTGATGATTTTTTGCTGCTAATGCCAACACTATAGAAAGGATGTAATTTTTCCGATGGAGATTTCAGAGTGTCAATGTGCATATTTCACACAATGTGCAATTATCTGAGCAGATCAGAGTTGCTTTGATCAATGTGTGTACACTGAGAATATCAATAATGGTTAGTATAATAATATAGAATGGATGACCACTGCAGAAATTGCTGATTTTTTGGTAGCATTTTATTTTTACCAACTGGTTTTACCAATTCTTAGTAGTGGCCTATTTTCTGCCTATTATTAATATATCAGCTTTAATAATAATCCCTTATATTTATATAGCACTTTTTCTTAACACTCAAAGCACTTTATACCTTTTTGAAGGGAATCTCCTCGTCCACCACCAGTGTGCAGCATCCATCTGGATTACATGACAGCAGCTTTATTGCGCCAGACCACACACCACACGATTGGTGGAGAGGAGGCAGAGTAAAGAAGACAATTTTGATATGAGGATGTTAGGAGGCCATGATGAACAGAAGCCAGTGGGCAAATTTGGCCAGAATGCTGGGGTTAAACCCCTACTCTTTTTTTGAAGCACATGCTAGGATTTTTAATGACCAAAGAGAGGCTGGATATCAGTATAACGTCACATCCAAAAGACGGCGCTCACTGAGCAGTATAGAGTCACCATCAATATACTGTGGCGTTAGGCCCAACACAGACCACAGGTAGAGCGCCTCCTGCTAAACTCACTAGCACCACTTCCGGCAGCAACATAGCTTTCCTATGTGGTCTGCCATTCAGGTACTGAACTGGCACAGCACTGCTTAGCCTTACTGGGTAACAATGTGAGATTTGCAGAGAGCTAGCTGCCAGCTTTATATTCTCACTCTATATTCCTAAATCTACCCAATTCCTAAATTAAAAACATTATATTAATAAACCACAAATTACAAGTTTTTTAAAGCAAAAGTCAAAGATTGTTATTTGAGAGAACTGAACATTAAACTAAACTGTCTTTTTATTATTGGTTTATTTAAAACATCTAGTGACCAATCAAAAGTGATGCAAGTCATTCACTTTCAGCACATTATAATTTTATAATTCTAATTTTAATTTATAATTTTAATTTATAATTTTATAATTATAATTTTTGAAGGGTCATGTGACTTTAAAACTGGCATAATAGATTTTTATTTATTTTATTTATTTACTTTTTTAGCCAGGAATGTCCCAGAGTATATTGACATATAACATATTTTTTACCAGGGAGTCCTGGTTGAGACAGGCAGCATAGAACAGAGTTGTACACGTTGTAGTAGACATGCCAGGCATGAAAGCTTGACAGGCGTAGCAACAGTAACTAAGGAGGGCGGGGCTTAGCTAATGGTCTATTGTCTAAATGAAGAGCTTAGTAATGCACATTACTAATATATAAGTTTATGTATTTACAGCAGGACATTTGTAAAGATCTTTCTAATGATTTTTGGCATAAAAGAAAAATCTATCATTTTGACCCAATGTATTGTTTGGCTATTACTAAAATATATCAGAGCAACCTAAGTCTGGTTTTGTGGTCCAGGGTCACAAACAAGACCTCTAGAGCAATGTTTCTCAACCACGGTCCTGGAGGACGACTAGATCTTCACATTTTCCATGCCTACTTAACCAAACACCTGATTCAAATCATCAGCTCATCAGCAGAGACTGAAAGACGTGTGATGGGTGTGACAGACAAAGGAGACTTCCAAAACATGCAGTGCTGGTGGTCCTCCTGAAACATGGTTGAAAAACACTGTAAGGATGAGGATCTCCAAAATCTAGCTTCTATGATTTATGCAGTAACCTAGAAATCACTTTTTGTCAATCAATTTTTTATAAACCCTATTTTGTTACATTTTTGCTCTTACGCTGTCTTATGGTGCACTTTTAATATGGACAGTCTATCTGGAGCTACATGAGGTTAAGTGCTTTGCCCCAGGCACAACAGCACTTATAGATCGGCCCTTGAGGGGCTCCAACCAACAGCTGTGTGGTTATCTTTTACCACTAGTCCACACCATCCCGCCAGTGAGCAGAAGGAACTTACTACTTACAAACATAAGTAACACCAGCTCACACACGCTGATGTTACCCCCAAGGCTGATCTGGGATCATCTGCTAAAATAAACATCCACCTCAAATGTGCTGTTGCATGCGCTCAGCTTGCTATCTCAGCTTCCTTTTAGCGCACTTACAGAGATCTCCTATCCGTGCCTGGCATTGACCGTTGAGTCTCAGCGGGTTACTGGACTGCCTAATCATCTCTGTACATCTGTGAGGCTCTGTTGATTAAGACCGGGCTCCCTCGGTCCAGCACAGATACGCTCCGATCGCATCTCTCCGGCGGCAAAGCCGATAAATCAAAACCGGAGAGACGGAGCCGCGGTGTCCTTGGACTGCCTGCGTGGCTGTTGGGATTATTTGTCCTGCTGGGCTGAATGGAATCGCTCACGGATGGATGGTTGGTAAATCTGTCAGTACTTTTTTGAAATGGTGCCGTTTTGTGAAGACTTCTAAAGACTGTAAAACCGCACTGCGGGACAGGACGGGGTTGATGCGGTCACAATGTGTCTCACAGACGGTCATCTGCACATAAATAAACTCACCCTAATGTTTTACACTATAAAACTGTCCCAGCCAGGGTTTGTTTGCGTATGTTTGTCGTTTGGCTCTGATTCCAGTCACTGGCATTAATAGAGACGTAAAAGGAAAGCTCGGGCTTTAGTGCCTCATGTTTGATGAACAGCGTGAGGAAGAAGGGCCAGCTCGCAGGTCTGTTTCTGAATTAGCCAGTTCTATTTCCTTCCTGTGGCCAAACACACAGTCACAGCAGAACTGGCTAGCAGTGCTGGACACCACTGAGATTTTCTGGCAGATGAACAGAACCATGCAGATCCAGGATAGTGTAATCACCTACCAGCATCATACATGGCTCTGTTTGATACTAATGCAGCACTGGCTTTTTTTTTATTATGACAACCTTGTACTACAATTGAATTTAAATGTAGTTCTACAAAAAATAACAAATTACTTGCATCCTTGTTGCTTCAGGCCTGTATTAATGACTTCTCTGGAGCACAAAATAAGGAATTTTAGGAAGGCATGAGGGTGAATTCATGAGGACAAATTTACCAGGCATTTTTCTTTATTACTTGCCAAGAAACTCTTTGCAAAATCAGGCAGCAATACCACAGTAACTACTCAAATTTACAATGTTTATATATATATATATATATATATATATATATATATATATATATATATATATATGTCAAGTTTAAGGAAGAATCTAAGCAGACAGATAAATGCATTTATTAACTTTATTTATTTATTCTCTCATTTCTTTAAATATTGAATACATTTGTTTTATTGACTTAAAGCCAGACAGTCAAGTTCCCGTTCTCCCACCCATTCCTATTACCCCTCATCTTTAGACAGGGCTCTTGACTCTAAGGGCTCTATTTTGACTGTCCATGCACAACTGCTTTCAGGGCGTGTCAGAATCCACTTTTGCTATTTTAAGGCCGAAAAAATCTGTCTAAAGGGGTTGAGCTCATTTTCTTAATGAGTTATGGGTGTGTTTTGAGAATAAACCAATCAGAGTCTCATCTCATATTCCCTTTAAGAGCCAGATGTGTCGCGCCATAAGCGCATTTGCTATTCACAAGACGTAAAGTAAGTGGAAGTGGAAAAACTGAGCATTTCACTAGCAAGAAAACTGTTAAACAGAGCATCTACAGCGCGAGAATGAGAGATAAGGCATCTCATAATCTACTTACGCTCTCGTGGATAAGGAAACCTTGTACGCACAGACATCAATAAGCCTATAAATAATTAATTTTGTTTGTTAAGCGCAAATATTTGTTTCAAAACTATTTCTAAATTCAGCATTAATTTCCAGTGAACAAATAAATGAACAATAATAACGAAGTGTGCTCAAAAATCTGAGTTATATCCTAATACACATGCTGTTCCCCATATGGTCTGAAACCTGACAGGTGGCCAAATCTAAGCTTGTTTTTAATAAAACAAATATAAATATGGATATAATAAATAATACTGCTAATAATATTATAACATTATACAAAAGTAAATTGTTATGAATGAATGAACTGAAAAAGCCTCCTGAGATGAAGGCATGAAAGCATTTTTTTTTCTATATCCTTAATATGTTAATTATTCTTCATTTGTAAAGATATTTGCATATTGCTCTACGTCTTGTGTGTATTAAGCACAAGTGTGAGGAGCACAACTAACGCACTCTGCGCTCAACTTTAGACCGACTTTGTTTTGGTCTATTAAAAATCTATTATAGTTTCTCAAAATAGCAACGCGCCAGCAATGCGCCTCAGAATGCCTTCCTTTTAGACCAGAATGCCTATGGGCGCACATATGAGCGCAAATGCATTTGCTATTTAAACAGCGTGGCGGAAAACGTCAAAACGACTCTTGCGCCAA